TAGCAAAGGTGTGTCATTGATATTTAAAATTGCTTAGAAGACTACATTCCCAAAATATGAAACGAATTCTTCTTATACAAGGAACATTGAAGGCGGAATCAGAAAGACTAAGGTCTAGGCCGGTCCCTGTCTCTCTGACCGTGGGACTATGAGTACTATTCATGTCCATATGTCAGCTTTCTCCTCTGGAGATGTATGTTTTTAAATATCTTACACATGATTTTATAAAAAATATTTCTAACAAAGTAATGAAATGCAAAAAAAAAAGTATACTATATTTATGTGTCTGACTTATATATTTCTCAGCATCCTGGAAACTGGATAGAGATGAAGAGAGTGGTTTTATGAAGTCTTTATTATATTATGGTAATGAACCACTTTCCACAAGTTTTAAAAGATTCTGTCATATATGACTAGGGACCTGATGCACAAAATACATGTAAGAGTAGGCCTTCCTTCCTCCAGCTGCCGGTACCGGTTTCCCTCTGGCACCTGGGACCCAGGCTTCCCTCGCAGCCCTGGCTTCTTCCAGAAGGTCATCCGGAAGGATGGTCTAATTAGCATATTATGCTTTTATTAGTATAGATTGCTGAAAAGTCCAGGTTTATTTTTGTGTATCATTAAGGACTTTTCAGTGCAAACTTTTGCAAAGTATTGGCTTAGGGTAATTATTATTACTTTAAATTCTCTTTACTATATTTAATAGCATAAATGGACCCTGAGCATCAAATTAAATTTGATCCTAAAAGAACATTATGGTTCTTAATGTGTTTTAATTCTCCAAGAGTCCAGGTGCTGTTTTTAGCCCTGGATTCAGTTGTTCTTCAGTTCTAAATGTCGGTGATGAACTTACATGTCTCATATATATCGCTTGTGACATTTAGCAGACAGTGGGGAGAGAAAAACTAGGGAAAGCAATACTTTAAATATTTTAAAATATCTTAGAAAGAACAAGAATGGGAGAAGAGAGAAGTAAAGAAAGATCCATTTGGTGGTGTGGTGAAATATACCAGTAGCCACCTTAATTGACACTAATGGTTGCCTTTCATCCCTTCCTTTTTCCTTTCCTCCTCCACCACCTCCTTCTTCTTCTTCTTCTTCTTCTTCTTCTTCTTTTTTTTCCCCCCCCCCCCCCAATCTTCACTGTTTTTTACAGTGAGAAGTTATGGGAATTCTTTTCCTGGAACTGGAACCCTGGACTGGTGAACCTGGTGTGGGGGTGGGACCCCTTGCTCCTCAGGGGGAACCTCCTCAACCCAGATATCCCTACTGATTTTTGACATGCACACGGTGGTGTGGGACCAACCTGTTCAGCATCTGCTCTTCCTGCCAACATGGTTTCTTCAGTATATCCTTAGGTGTAGGACTTCTGTTCAGCGACTTTCGGTAGTTCTCGATGATGGTTGTTCTGTAGCTTAGATATAATTGTGATGTCGTTGTGGGAGGAATCGAGCACAGTGCCTACCTCCTCTGCCATCTTGACTGGAAGTTCTAAGGTTTTCCTCTAATTGCTTTGATTTTTCCAGTAAATTTCCCAGGTCTTCAACTGACAGTACCTGAAAAGGAGGAGAGGAAATGGACTAGGGAAATGAAGTCCTCCTTGAAGTTGTTACTGGAATCCTGATCATACCTCTTTTCTGTTTTGCAAAATTACTTCTCCCTTGTCAACTCCTTTTTTTGGTGGGGAAATAAAATATAGCTGGGGTTTTTTTTGGATAAGGTGAACTATCTATTTAGTCCTAGTAAAAACTAATGAAATAGTAAAGTGTTTTTATTGTGTGTGTGGTCTTCTACCTCTAGATATATCCAGTTTCTCAGTTGTATTTATTATTATTAACTACAGTGTCAAAAACAAAAAAAATAAGGCTATTGATATTCTGGATTTCACTTTGGGGTTCTTTTTCATGTTGAGGAAATATGAAATTTTTAGAAAATCAAATTTTTTCTTCTTCTTTTAGATGTTCTTAATAGTTGCTCCTCTTTCTGTCCTCTACAACTGGAGGGATGAATTGGACACCTGGGGGTATTTCAGAGTCACTATTTTACATGGTAACAAAAAAGACAATGAACTGATCCGTGTAAAGCAGAGGAAGTGTGAAATTGCTCTAACAACTTATGAAACACTGCGCTTATGTTTGGATGAGCTTAACAGGTAATGACCATAATGGGAATGATTGCATTGTTGTTCTGCTTACCTCAATTGTATTTATACCTTTATATTATAATTTTTTTTAAAGCTGTAAATATTTAGCATGATTTATTTTCATTTTAGTATCATTGATATTGGCAGTCTACAATAATTATTTTCTAAAAAGGAAAAAGCTGCATCAGATTTTCTACAGTTTCTTATTCTATTTCTTCTTCTATAACTTCTCCAAAAATATCTGCTAAAGAATGTTAAGACTTGTACTAAATCTTATATACAACCTTTTATGCATGTGGTGCCTCAATACTAAGACAGTCATTTTCATGAATTATTTTAATTAGGTGAATCTGTTGTGTGAATGAGTAGCAAAAATCACATACACATATTGAGAACCACTGTTCCAGTTTCCTATATCCTTGCCAACACTTGATATTGTCCGTCTTTTTAAATTATCGACATTCAAATGGGTTTGTAGCGGTATCTTATGGTTTTAATTTGAACTTCTCTAATGACTAGTGATGTGGAGAACTTCTGTGTGCTTATTTGTCAGCTGTATATCTTTGTTGGTAAAATATCTAGTAAAATTGTTACCCAGCTTTTCAAATTGGATTGTTTCAGCCTTGTTGAGTTGTAAGTTTTTTATACTTTCTGTATACAAGTTCTTTGCTAGGTTATGCTATGCAACCACTTTCTCCTAGTCTGCAGCATGTCTTGTCATTTTCTTAATGGTGTCTGTAAGACCAAGAGCAAAGTTTTTAACTTTGATGAAGTCCAACTTATCAATTTTTTTGGTGTTCATATCTGAGAAATGTATCTTAACTCAGAGCCACAAGATTTTTTTCTTACATTTTATAATTTTAGCTCTTATGCTTAGTTCTATTATCTATTTTGAGATAGTTTTTATGTATGTGAGATGTGGGGGTGCATAAGATATCTTTCCTCTCACCTTCTAAGTTCTTCTATCTGGACTAATAATCAAATTGATATGCGACAGATTAACAAGAGGAAATGTCCAAAATTTATTATGAATATACATTTGTGGGTGCCATAGATAGGAGATTTGAAGACTCTTGGGCAGTTGAGGTTTATATGCCATTTTGCACAAAGGAGGAAGGCAGGGGGCTGCGATTTCAGAGGGAAAGTAGGTAATTTACAGGGAGACAAGAAATAGCAAATTTGGTAAACAAATGTTGTCTGGGCCACACAATGGACACAGGGGAATTTGGCAAACAGAGTTTTGTTGGATCCTCCCTGGTGGTCATATCTGCTCTGTGTGTGCTAAGATGATTATCCTAAGGTGAATATGCTAAGAAGATTCCCTTCCTGAAGTAGTTTTTCTATCTGAATTCCTTTAGGCAGTTTAAAATTAATATCCCAAAGGCATACTTCAGGTGGCAAAACTTTGGTTCCCCTCAGAGGTAAAAGTCCAAATTATTTTTCTTCCGCAGAACTTCCTGGGTTTTACTTACTCAGTGTTTTATACTCCGTCATAGCCATTCTTCATGATGCCCACATTTCCGATTAGCCTGGATCCTTGGGAGATGTCTTTGGACATCTGGGCTTTCTGGTTCTTCATTATTTCCCCTACTGCACACTTGAAAGCAACCATTTCTCCGGGGCTCTGGTTCCTTTTAGTGGATTGACTGCTATAAGTGCGCATTGCTGCTGGGTAACAATTGATTCTAAACCTTTTTAGCAGATAAAGCTATATAATACAACTTTTAAAGTCATGAGTTTGGATTGATTTTTTCATTCAGATTTAACATTATCAGTTTTGCTTCCTATATTTTATATTTATTTCTCTTGTTTATTACTTTAAAATTTCGTTTTGTCATTTTAGTGATGTGAAAATGAGTGTTTTTTATTCCACCATCATTACACAGAACCTCTATACCTTTTTGTCTCTGTATGCATTTTATTTTCATGAGCTGTCCAAACCTGTGACCGTTTAACTAACTAGGTGAGATTGTTATGGGATCATCAAAGAATAAAGAGGGGGAAAATTCCAAAATTTTGATAGAGAAAGCTGCTTTCTAAAAATTATATAAGCTAAGCAAGGGACATTTTCTCAACCTCCCTCCCCCCTTTTTTCACTTAATAGTTTGGATTGGTCAGCTGTTATTGTGGATGAAGCTCATAGAATCAAGAATCCAAAGGCTAGAGTAACAGAAGTTATGAAAGCTTTAAAGTGTAATGTTCGCATTGGCCTCACTGGAACCATTCTTCAGAACAACATGAAAGAACTGTGGTGTGTTATGGACTGGTGAGTAAAAACACTTTATGTTTTGGAAAATTATTTAATACATCTTTAACTTAATGTTATCTTGTTTGCAAATTATTAGCTTCTAGGGGAAAAAAATCACAATTATTTGTTTACAGGAATATTTGATCCCAAACATAGTATACAGAATAGAGTCCCATGAAAACCTATCTTTATATATTCTTGGTTCCTGAAATAAATGTCTGAACTAATTTACTAATTTATCATCAGCTTACAGTTATTTACTGAAAAACTCATAAAGACTGTTACTTGCCTTTTGTTATTGCTGTCATTACAAACAAGTGACTTAGTCTATTTCTTAGAAGCAAAAATAAGCCAGTGTCTTTCCTTTTAGATAATTTAATAAAGCACTGATATTTTCCTTATTGCCTTTACGAAGGGCTGTGCCAGGACTTTTAGGTAGCAGGATCCACTTCAAGAAGCAGTTTTCTGACCCAGTAGAACATGGTCAGAGACACACAGCAACAAAAAGAGAACTAGCTACTGGCCGAAAGGCCATGCAACGGCTTGCAAAAAAGATGTCTGGATGGTTTCTCAGGCGTACCAAGACTCTAATCAAGGATCAGTTGCCTAAGAAGGAAGACCGGGTGAGAACTGCATTTGAATATATTATTAACTTCTAATTGTGTGTGTGCTTTTAAAAAATAATTTATGATCTAAAGTTTTACATGAGTGTTATTTTTTAAAAAAATTATTTTTAAGAGGAAATCTATTATAATTTTTAATGTAATTTTTGCTTTTTATATGGTGTGAAAAAAATTGCTTTGTGTAGAATTTCAGAAAACATTAATTGAGCCCAATCATTTTCCTTACTAACTTTACTCACCTGTCAGCTAACAGGTGTATTATTAGTGTACATTGAACTGATTTCTCTTATTTAGAACAAAAATACTTTTTATATAATTCTTCCTCAATGAAGAAAGAAGAGTTTCTCTCCCTAATGTGTTTTCTGTTCATATTTTGTAATTCCTACATCGTCTACTATCTATAATTCCGTATATTCTTGGGTACCTTAACTGTAGCTACAAGACCAAACTTTTTGTTATTATACATTTGTTTATTATAAAATGCTATCTTTAGTGACACAACTAACCTAATTTTACAACTTTGTAGAAAAAGTACAATTATATTAATTGTTGAAGAAAATTTGAAGAGTTGACTTTTAAGAGAATTTTTTTAATATAGTAGTTCTCTTTTATGGTTTTTAATTGTGTGGATCTTCTAGCTCAGACAATGCAATAAAAGTTCTATAAATTGCTATGAACTAAATCTAACTAAAGTCTCAAATAAGGGCAATTCTAACAAATACCCTTTAGTCTTAAGATATCCTGTTGATTATTACTTTAAAAAGATAGAATTGAAAGAAAAATATGATACTGATTTACAAGCTGGGGAAATTGATATAACATTTGACTTTTTACCTCAAGCAAATATTATTTAATTGGAAAACTTCATGGACCTCCACTTTCTAAAAATGTTTTGTGCATTTTAATATATATTATTTAGTTGTCAGTTGTCTATCTGGTAAGAACAATACCATAAAACTATGAAAAGAAAGTTGTGCATAGAAGTTTAGAGATTGGGCTCTGAAATAAAATATCATAGGTTTGAATCCTTACTCCCTGACTTATGAGTTAAGTCTTTCAAACTTTGGTTTCTTTATCTGGTACATGGGAAAGATGATAACAGTGCCTGCCTCATGTGGTTGCTCTAAAATGTGTGATATGTAAGAAGTGTTCAGTAAATGTTACTACATGTTTTAATAACACCAACTCAACAATAAAAGACTTAGGAATAAATTTAACCAAAGAGGTGAAAGACCTGTACACTAAAATCTATAAGATATTGTTTAAAGAAATTGAAGAAGACACAAATAAATGGAGAGATATATCATGTTTGTGGATTGGAAGAATTAATATTGTTAAAATGATTGCAAACTATACTACAAAGCCACAGTCAACTAATGTTTGACAATGGAGCCAAGAATATTCAGTGGAGAAAAGGTAGTCTTTTAATAAATATTTTGGGAAAATTGAGTATTCACATGTGATAGAATGAAATTGAAGTCCTATTTTACACCACTTGCAAATAATTAACTTGAAATGATTGAAGACTTAAATATAAGACCTGAACCCATAAAACTGGTAGGAGAAAACATAGAGAAAGAGCTCCTTGACTTTGGTCTTGGAGGTGATTTTTTTTTATATGACACCAAAAGCACAAGCAACAAAAGCAAAAATTAACAAGTGAAACTATCAAACTAAGTACTTTTTGTATAGTAAAAGAAGCAATCAGAATGAAGAGGCAGCCTACAGAATAGGAGAAAATATTTGCAAACCATCTATCTGGTAAGTTCATATCCAAAATATATAAGAGACTTAATTCAATTGCAACAATAATAACCTGATTAAGTATTGATCTGATCTGAATAGACACTTTTCCAAAGAAGACATACAAATGGCCAACAGGTTTATGAAAAGATGTTCAATACCACTAATCATCAGGGAAATGCAAAGCAGAAACACAATTCTGGCATTACTTGATGCCAATTAGAATGGCAATGACCAAAAAGACAAGTGATAGCAGTGTTGGCGATGATGTGAAGAAAGGGGAGCACTCGTGCACTGTTTGTAGGGATATAAATTGGCAGAACTACCATGGAAAACAGTATGGTAGTTACCCCCCAAATTAAAACTAGAACTACCATACGGTCCAGCAAGTCCCACGTCTGGTTATATATCCAAAGGAAATGAAATTGCCCTCATAGGGACAGAACTTCCATGTTCATTGCTACATTATTCACCGTAGTGAAGGCATGGAAACAGCCTGTCTGTTGACAGATGAATGGATAAAGAATTTGTGATACATCGATTTAGACATGGAACATTATTCAGCCATAAAAAGGAAGGAAATCTGTCATTTGTGACAACATGAATGGATCTTGAAGACATTATGCTAAATGAAACAATTCAGACAGAGAAAGAAAATATTGTATGATCTCTCTTATATGTAGAATATCTCTTTTAAAAAGCCACACTACTAGAAAAAGAATAGAATGGTAGTTTCCAGGGGCTAAGGGTCAGGAAAAATGGAGAGATATTAGTCAAGGATACAAACTTTTATAAGATGAATAAGTTTTGGGGATTTAATGCATAATATAATGACTTTTGTTAACTGTTCTATAGTCTATACTAGGGGTGGGCAAACTTTTTGACTCGAGGGCCACAATGGGTTCTTAAACTGGACCGGAGAACCGGAACAAAAGCATGGATAGAGTGTTTGTGTGAACTAATATAAATTCAAAGTAAACATCATTACATAAAGGGTACGGTCTTTTTTTTTTTTTTTAGTTTTATTCATTTCAAATGGGCCAGATCCGGCCTGCGGGCCGTAGTTTGCCCACGGCTGGTCTATACTCAAAAGTTGCCAAGAAAATATATTTTAAATGTTCTAACAAAAAATATTAAAACACCATTATGTGAAGTAATGGATGTGTTAACTAACCTTATTGTTGTAATAATTTTGTAATATGAATATGTATCAAGTTATTACATTATACACCTTAAACTTACACAATGTTATATGTCAACAAAACTGGGAAAAATAATATCTCAAAATTCCCTCCACATCTTAATTATTGACTCCCCACCTTCTTTTTCTATTCTCTTCATTCTTATATGTACCTTTGTATTCAAGTAGAGTAAAGATATAGCTAATATTTTATATATAGTTCTTTTTAAGTCTAGCACTGTTTTATATGGACATTCCTGTATTTGCTCAGATGCACATTTTTGTCTTATTTTTATGGTAATATTCTATTGTAGTGTGATATGCACATATAAATATTTATAAATAAACTAGAGGCCTGGTGCACAAAATTCGTGCATGGGGGGGCTTCCCTCAGCCCGGCCTGCACCCTCTTGAAATCCGAGACTCCTTGGGGGATGTCTGACTACCGATTTAGACCCAATCCCTATGGATCCCTGCAGATCAGGCCTAAACCGGCAGTCAGACATCCCTCTCGCAATCCAGGACCACTGGCCCCTAACTGCTCGCCTGCCTGATCGCCCCTAACCGCCTTGCCTGCCTGATCCTCCGTAACTGCCTCTGCCTGCCTGATTGCCCCTAAGCACTCTGCCTGTCTCCCTGATTGCCCCTAATTGCTCACTTGCCTGTCTGATTGCCCCTAACCGCTCGCTGGGGGGCTGCCGGCCAGGGTGAGGGCTGTGGTTGTTCTGGTCTCTAGTTCCGCCATTTCAGTTGCTGGGCTTTTATTTTATAGGATGGCTTTTCCCTATCCTATGTAATAAAGAGCTAATATGCTAATTAGAGCGGATGGTGGAATGACCTTCCAGAATGACCTTCTGGAATGACCAGAGGGTCGGGGGTGGGGCTGCGAGGCAGCTGGGACTGCAAGGGCCAAGCCCCATCCACAAATTTCATGCTCTGGGCCTCTAGTCTATAATAATAAAAATATAATATGCAAATCGACTGAACGACTGAACAGCAGAACGACTGTCTGGATGACCTTCTGGATGACCATGCTATGACACGCACTGGCTCCAGGCCAGCCAAGATGGGTACGATGCGATTGGTCAGGCGGACCCCCGCTATCTCCCCAAAATCGCCCCACAGAGGAAGGCCCAGGCCACCCTCTGTGGGGAGATAGATGGGGGTCTCCGCAATTGATCTCCCCAAAGAGGGAGGCCCAGACCACTGGCCAACAGGGCGATCAATGGTGGGGGGGCTCCAAAATCGCCCTAGAGAGGGAGGCCCAGGCCACCCCCTGCGTGGTAATCTATCGTGGAGCTCCGGCTGCAAGGGCAGGACTTACCTCTTTGGGGCAATCCATCATGGAGCCCTGGCTGGGTGGGCCTCTTTGGGGTGATCGATCGCAGGGCTCCCGGACTGGGAGAGGGCACAGGCCAGGCTGAGGAACCTACCCCACCCCCACCCCCAAGTACACGAATTTCATGCACTAGGCCTCTAGTTATTCATATTGCTCCAAGTTCTATTATGGGTATCTTTAGTTTAATGACCCTATTTACATAAGCTATAGCTAGAAGAATTTTACCAATTTCCAGAGCTACTAGAAATAGAAGGTAAATTGTATTGCCTGCAACTTACGACATTATTTCATATTTTTTTCTCTTTTTAAATTTGGGTTCAAAATAGAAACTTATAGTTGCTTTCATGGATATTTACTTAACTCTTATTATTACTAATTTTATGAATTTATATGAAGATATTAAATACAAATACTTTAGCTTGTTTTCAGTAATTTGAAGTTTCTTATATTTTTCTAAGTTTTCCAAGTAATTTGGTAATTACAATTCATGCCATTGTTCTAAAATTTTCCATTGTTTCTTATCTAGTTTTTTTATTGACCTAAATTTTAATCATTTATTTGCATGATAAGCTGATCATGTAAAACCCTACATGGTGAGGCAAAAGTAGGTTTACATTGTTCATATGGAAAATAATACAGTAATTAATAAATGATAATACAAGAACAAACTGTATTTTGCATACTTACAACTATAAAACTACTTTTGCCCCACCCTATCCAGTAGAACCTAGGTTCTGGAACTTAATTTGTTCTGGAAGGCTGTTCGAGAAGTTTTCACATTTTGATTTATTTTAATTAAAAAACTCTTGGAGGTTTATTTTAAAATAAAGTTATAATTTGTATAGTTTAGGGTAGGGTGCTAATTTGTTTGAAAACTGAATCATTTTTCCCCATTAGAAATAATGTAAGTTGAATCAATCCATTCCAGACCCCCAAATGATTCCCTGTTTTTACCTTTCTTATGTACAGTTCATGTCTAATATACTGTTTATAAATAGAGACTTATTTTCTTAAGTTTATCAAACCATACCCTTCTAGCCTTAAATGAATTTTTTATATATCACTGCCTCTGAAATGCTGTCCCCTGCAGCTTTTAGTTTATCCAATCAACAACAGTTTTTCTGCCTATTCATTTGCCTGTGGTTGTTGTTTTTGTGAGCACTTTCACACCCTTAGCAACATTAGCATTTTTGATGCCTCTTGATGTTTTAAAATTGTGTTAATCTTCCATTTCTGCCAGCAGCAGAAGCTTTCTGTCCTTTGTTTAGGGACCCCTGGACCTGTTGGGGTTGGACCCTAACACTCTTGATGGTCTCTTTATGTTTTAAAATTATGTTAATCGTTGATTTCACCAGCAACAAAAACATTCTCTCCTTTGTTCCCCAATAGATGCTTAGCAGGAAGGGTTGTCAGGTTGAAAACTGAAGTTTTGGTCAACAACTGAGACATTTTTTCTATGAACAACTTGGTAGAAAACCAAATTATTTGAGATGGGAGACATTGGAGAAACAAGATTTGACTGTGTAAGGAAATCTCACAAGTTGTTTTTTTCATATTTTGATTTCTTTTAATTAAAAAACAAACTCTTGGAGGTTTATTTTAAAATAAAATTATAATTCGTATAGTTTAGGGTAGGGTGCTAATAAAGAATTTGGGAGAATTGGAGAAATTGTCATAATCATGTACCTAGAAAAAATAACATGGTTTATGTGCAATTTTCACTATTGCAGTCTATGAAATGTTATGTGCATGGTGATTATTATTGCTATAGAAAAAATACTAATAATTACCTTGTGTTTTCTTGGTAGATGGTGTATTGTTCTCTGACAGATTTTCAGAAAGCTGTCTATCAGACAGTATTAGAAACAGAAGATGTGACTTTGATACTTCGATCTTCTGAGCCATGTACCTGCAGCAGTGGTCGAAAAAGGAGAAATTGTTGTTACAAGGCAAGCATTTCAGTTTGATATCTTTACTATCCTGTTTTGATTACATAGTACTCTATTGTAAGTAGCAGCTTTCCTCAGACATTTCTTTACTTTAGAAGCCATCCTATATAATAAAAGCCTAATATGCAAATCAACCGAACGGCAGAACGACCAGTAGAATGACTGGTCGCTATGACACGCACTGACAACCAGGGGGCGGACGCTCAACGCAGGAGCTGCCCCCAGTCTGCAGGCTCCAGGCCAGCCAAGGCGGGTGCCAGCAGGGGCCCCCTATCGCCCCACTGGTCACTCTATAGAGGGAAGCTACCGGCAGCAGCAGCAGGGCGATTGGAGGGGGGGCTGGCGAGTGGGTGGTGCCAGGCGGGCCAAGGCGGGAGCCAGTCGGGGCCCCCTGATTGCCCTTCCGGTTGCCCTGTAGAGGGAGGCAACTGGTGGGGGGTGGGGCCGGCAAGCAGGTGGTGCCAGGCTGACTAAGGCAGGTGCCAGCGGGGGCCCCCTGATCGCTCCGCCGGTCGCCCCACAGGTCGGCCCTGATCGCCAGCCAGGACTAGGGACCCTACCCATGCACAATTTCATGCACTGGACCTCTAGTCTATCTAATCCAATAGTAGACAAACATGGTAATTGACCCTACCTTTGCTACGCTTCCCATTGGCTAATCAGCACAATATGCAAATTAACCGCCAACAAAGATGGCGACTAATTTGCATATGTAGGCGCCAAGCGATGGAGCGAAGCCCGCTGGCCCCGGGGAAGAGCAGTGAGTGAAGGCCAGCGTGGTGAGCGAAGAGCAAAGCCAGCTGCGCCGGCCCCACCCTCAGAGCCCAAGCAGTGAGCAAAGAGCTAAGCCCACCGCAACGGCCCCTCCCAGCGAAGAGTGAAGGCCTGGGTTTCGGGCGCCAGAGGAAAATTAGTGTCAGCAGCCAGGGGAGGGGGCCCCCAAGGGTCCCCAGACTGCAAGAGGGCACAGGCCGGGCTGAGGGACCCACCCAAGTGCACAAATTTTTGTGCACTGGGCCTCGAGTATCCTATCTAATAACTCTAGTATCCTATCTAATAAAAAAGGAACATGGTAATTAGTGTACATCCGCTACCCTTCCCCTTGGCTAATCAGCGACATATGCAAATTAACTGCCAGCCAAGATGGCAGCCGGCAACAAGGCAGCTTGAAGTGAACATGGGGCTTGCTTGCTTCAGTGACGGAGGAAACCAACGTTCCCCACCTGCCA